CACTGAGAGAAAAAAAGGGCCATGCAAGGGTGCAGAAAGAGGAAGCAAAAGGAGGCAGTGGGTTAAAACAGCTGAGGCTGTAGGAGGGATCTTTTGTGTCTTTTCTTTTTTTCTTTCCCCTAGGATTTACAGGATCTGTAAGACACTGGAATTATTTTTCTTGAATGCATTTTCAGCTTTTCTAGCTTCTGCACTGTTTCGGCCAGCATAACCTGCACAGAGCGCTCTATGCCACTCAGTGTGGGTGGAAGGCACATTAGCACCTCTGCAGTCTTTTCTTTTCCTACTGGCAATACGTTGAAGAGTATACACCAGTTTCCTTCAACAGATATAAAGGGACGCATGCCATCCTCTCAGGCTAGAGGAGGGCAATGCTAAAAAATTATAGGAGTTAAATACAGACTCGTGACTTTCTAGTTCAGTCATAATATTGTCTCTGTCTTCTCAATCATTGAGAAGCAAAAGGAAATGACGTGCTGCTAAGTAAAGGGAATGTTTGCTGAAACTCACATCAAGGCAAAATGAGAAAGGTAGCTGTCACTTGAGCTCTGTTACAAGCTTCCTGAGGTGACTGCCCACACAGCTCAGTCACTGTCAGCATTGTGATTTCATGCTCTCCAAAAGTACCTTGTTTGGCAGAGGGTTTTCCTGTGAAGCTACCAGAATTTATTTTTATAAAAAAGAAACCATAGAAGCCAAGTACAAGAATGCTAACACATTACAAACCGCATAAGAGACTCCCATGCTTACAAGGCCAGCTTCCATAAATCACTATCCCCTTAAGCATGGTGCAGACCAGTCTTAAAATACTTGCCCTGTGCAGATGGTATTTGCATACTGCTACTGGCTGGGAGTGAGAGATACCTCCTTCTGGGGCCCTGGTGAAAAGCAGGTAAAGCTGAGTTGTAAGACTTCATTGGAACCCTCAGGAACTTGGCATCTCAATTCCTAGTTGCATTTCATATGAGGGGCTAGACTCTAAGCAGTCCCATTCTGCCCTATTGTAGATTGGCAGAAAACTGTCCTTGGTCTTGAGGGTAGAGACTGTGAATAAGCAAGCCACTACTGCTAACAGAAGGGTACAGAAAAGGTTCCTGTATTTTTAATACTGCCAAAGCAGTCCGAACAGTGACACTGAGGCAAAAGGGGGTGGCCCTGCTTTCTTGCTGGGTTTAGAGTGGACAAACAACTCCTGCTTTCTTTGACTTTTGTTATGATTTCAATCTTTCTCATAACATGGGAAAAATAAGAAGTCACTAAGTTTGTTGTTACTGTTTTTCATGGTGGTGTTTAAGGTGATTTTTTTTGTACGAAACACAACTTTCAAAAATAAAATGACCAAAAAACCTGGTAAAGTGTTGTGCTGATGTAACAGGAGATTTCTCTGGAGCCAAAGCATCTTACTTATCCAAGGGTGAAGGGTCCTTAGCGTGCAGTGCCTTATGCCTGAAATTCTTTTGCCAGGAATAGATCTCTTCTGTTAGTACATGTTTTTTACTGCCACCTTGTATCACTTCAGTTCCCTTAGGGCTTGAAAGAGAGGGGTATACACATCTTTCAAACTGAAACCTTTAAAGCTCAAGTAGTTACAGATGGGAAAATTTTCCCATGTTCTGTATTTCTCTGCAGCAATAAAAATCAAAAGTAACTTTTTGATGAAGGTTGTACTTCTCAAAAACTAAGGGGAGGGGGGATATAAAGCAGCCAGACCTGCAAAGTCTGAAGAAGCATTTTTTTTTTTTTTTATTAAGAACAATGAACATGAAATGAAGAAGTGAAGTCTTCCCCTTTGACTGAAATAAAATCCAGTCCTCAGAATTAGCTAGTAACATAGGCAAGCTAGCTGCTTGCCTACCCTGCCAAAGGTCAAACTAAACAGTTTTATCATACCCAGCCTGCTAAGGATAAAATGGTATAAGGACAGCCTTCTTCTGCTGATGGCGGTTAGAGATTCTAACCTCCCCCTTCCCAGCCCTCAAATTACATCACACCAAATAGTAGTATCAGGGTGCAAGTATTGGCAGCTTCCTTTGGGCCTGTTTTGATTCAAGAAGTCTCAGAAGTCCTCTCTCACAGGAACAGGGATGTCATTAAAGTGAGATTCAACAGTACAGTTAAGACTAGGAAGCTGTTGCCACATTTTACCCATCTTCTAAGCACTTTCCCTCCTCTCTTTTTCTAACATGAGTCAATAAAGATCTCTAATATTTTCCTACCTATGCTATTAGGCCTCCTCCCATGCCACTACAGCTTTCCTGTAACAGTAGATGCTTTCCACACAGAACAGTTTTATGTTTCACTCAAATATTCACGTGAAACTTCTGAAAACAGAAAAGCTGAGATCCATGGTTTATAAATCATCTTGCTTTCAGGTATTTGGCTCTAGGGGGCACTTACCTCTTCATGCTTTTTCTTCAGTTTTTTTGCTTGTTAGTTTTAAGCAGAGGCGCTTCTGGAAGAGAACTCTGCCCAGGTTTTCACCAGGTTAAAAAACTTCAGAAAACCACATTTGGTCCTTAAAAAAAACCCCCAAAGCTGGAGGGGCTGAAAGGGAGGGACTCAGCCTGTAACATAATTCTACCCCTTAGAAAGGAGAAGTAGCATTAAAGGATCAGTATTCAATTGGTGAAGGGTAAGTTTTTGGTTTTGTTTTTTTAGCTGAGGAGGAGAAATATTTGTTTTACAAAAAAAAAAAAAAAGCACAACAAAAAAAAAAAGAGCATGAGGCAGGCAATACAATCCTGTCAGCTTAAACTTTGTCCCATAAGCTCTCCTGAGGATAATGAAGACAGACACAAAAATAATACAAACTGATAAGAGAACACAAAAAAAAACACCCACCCCAAAACCAAAACCCCAGTCCATTTTATGAAGAGCCTTGGCGCTTCTGGAGACTGCTTTGGATCTGTAAATTATGCCCTAGCACAATGGGGAGACAAACCTAGTGCTGCAGGGTTCCCTAATGTAAGACAATCGCCCTCCTCTTCGGTTTTCCCATCATCTTGTCATAAGTACTCAGGATAAATCTTCCTCTGACTGGTTCAAAGAGGAACATCTGGAGTGAATGGCTGCTACAACACTTTGTCTTCACTCTGCCTCTCTACAGGAGACAGTAAAGCTAAGGCAGCTCCTATTGCCACGGGCCTTCAAGTTTGGTATGCATGCTGGAATGGCTATTAAACCCAGTTCATGAACAGCCTCGGTATTTTATTTTATTTTTTTTTTTAAAGTGGAGTAGCAGCATCCCCTTTTGCTCAAATTCTTGCTTGTCCACCTCTGTCACTTGGAATTTACTAGTTCTCCTTCCTAAATGCCACAAGCAGAGCTGCTCCCAATGTCCGTGCAGGGCAGGCTCTAGCTGTGCCTCAAGTTCTGGCACAGCAAGATTCAAAACTAAGATCTAGCAGACCTGCTGTAGCAAAAAAGGGGTGAGGACAGTTCCCCCTCAGAAGTCTGCTAGGACAGGAAGAGGTCCCTTCCCATCTTTATGTGGTATACAGGAGAGGCATATTCAAAATCAGGAAGAAGGAAAGATGTTTCAAGGCCGCAGGTAGGAGTTTCCCTCCCCCTTGTAGCACCATTAAGAGACCAAGACATGAGCTTGTGCATGGCAGTTTCAACCAGTTAAATTCCTTCTCATTCTTGAATGCAAGACCACAGGGGACTGTCCTATTCTTCCCCACCCCAATAGGATGCTCCAAAGCTGGCAGCTGCCCTAGGGTCAGAGCAAAAACGAGACCTCTGGCTTCAGAGCTGTTAGGTCTCCTTGAGGACATTGATCTTGGCACAGATCTTGAGAGCTGGTCCCAGCTTGATGTTCATGGCACTCATGAGGTGTTCCTCCTTCAGAAGTAACAGGGCCTGGCCATCAATTTCCTGTGACCGAAACTCCTCAGCAATCTCCTGGCACCCTGCAAAACCAAAAAAATAGCACTGAGAAACAGATGTGCCCTGGGCATTACCCTTGTTCCCACTCTTTGGACCTCTGGCAGGTACAGAAAGCAAGCCAGGAATCTAACCAAGCCCCCTCCCCACTCTATTTCACAGGCTGCCTGAGGAGTACAACTCATCCATCTGTATGACCTACTCCAGTTCAGAAACATGTACAAAAGCACAATAAAAGCACTAGGCACCACTGACACAGCTTTCTTTCCAGAAAGAGAGCCAACACATTTCCCCATGCTACTGAATCACAGGACTGCAGGAGAGGATCTTAACTTCACCTTGCAGTGATGCAATGAACTCGTACACTTCCTCCACACTCCAACGACTGGGATTGCTGGACAGGAAGACTGGGTTGATGCCATGTAGATCTGGGGTAGGTGGGGCCATACTAGAGTTTGCCAGGTCCCTCTCTCCATGACTGGCCCTTACTGACAGAGGTCCTGGCGATGTAGGGGACAAAGCTTCATCATAGCTAGAGTTATCAGAGCCTCGACTTGAGTCTTCCTGGCCCTACAAGCCCATAGGAAAGAAAGAAAACACAAGGTGTTTCATAAGAAATTCACAATTACTAGGTGCAAAACAAGACATTGGAAACAGCAGAAGTTGTTCCAAAAGTCTGGGACAACCGTCTCAGGCTGTTGCTCCAAGGGCAGCTGAGACAGGAGCTCCCTAATGCCACGAAGGGGAGACTTTACTCTCACCTCCCTTCCTCTTACTTCTCCCCATCCTCCCCTAGTCCATTCCTCTTCCTCATGTCAGTGCTGACGCTCATTCGATTCTTCTATAATCTGATTCAAATCATTTATGTGGAAGAATGCTAATCGAACAGGAAGACAGGACTGTTTTCTACCAAGGCTGTCAGCTGATGTCACTCACCGAGACCTCCGAGACACACCCAGGAGTGAACAGAACAAATACAAATGTGAATCCACTTTTTGCAGTTGATGAGCAATGAGAATGGTTTGCTGTGCTTGTGTAGCAACTGTGTCAGTGTGCACTGGGCACATCCTGTATGACTACATCCACTCTTGAGAAAGCAGTACACCCAGCAGTGACAACTGTTACACTGAGATTTGCCTTGACAGAGGCAGACAGGATTGTGTCCTTCTTACCCTGTGGCGCTTGCCCTGGATCTTTGTTCGAGCAATTTCAGAGCTGCTGCGTCGTGGTCCCCGTCGGCGCACACGAGCGTAGTTAGCTTCCTGGAATTCCTTCATCTTCTTTCTCTGCAGCCGAAACTGATGGCTGCAGCTGACATTGTACCTCAAATGGGTAGAAGCAAAGCAGCAGTAAGGAAACAACACCTATCTAAACCTACTGCTTCTCCTTGCTCTAGATGGGGATAAAACTCCTCTTTACCATGAAGTTCCGTTCCTCCTCCTTCTAAGGCTTCCCCTTGGAAGGAAGCAGTCCAGATTGCTGACACAAGCAATATTTGGGCACCAGAGTCTTGATCTAACATCTGAAGGGTCAATTAAGTCATTCCCCTACGGGAAAAAAGACCCATAACAAGCACCCTGCTATCAACAGGAGGCAGCAATGACTATTCTAACTTCTCCTCACTTTTTCTTCCCAGTGGTCCCTTGGGTCTTTGTCTAGTACCAATGCAGCAGACAGCTACCAGTATGCAATTCGTTTAGTCAGTCAAACGTACATTTTACTGAAGAGAGGTTTTTCGGAACCCAAGAACTTCCCCCTTCCCATTTTAATTTCTGAGCAAGTCAGAAATCCTGTTTACACTCAGCACCACATCCACCTCTCCAGATCTAAAAGTATTCACAAAATATTTAGAGTCCTAAAGGATCTCTGTGGCCACTGCATCCCATGGAAGGAGGATCAGATGTATTGAAGTGTTGCACACTACCTAGAGAAGGGGCACATGCCCAGTTCTAGAGAATGTACAGTCAGAGAAAAGGAAGGTCGTCTTGCTTATTACCTTTTAGCACAGGTCATGGAACAAAACCTCTTGGAGCCACGGAACTGGGTTGCTGGGGCATACTTTCCACAGTATTCACACTTCAGCAAGTTTGCCTTCTTATCAAGCTCTAGTGAAATACAGAGATATACAACAATTGATGATTTTAACTGAAGCCGATCACACACAATGATTTCCCATTCCACTACTCTTCCTCTGAACAGACAGATTCCAACCACTATTCTCCGCTGAATCTACTAAGCAGTTAGCTTGGGGAAGAAGCTGGGAGAAGAGAGGCAGAAGCTTCACTAATTAGGACCCCAGGATATTGAACAGAGCAGTTTATTTCTCTTTGTCAGTACCACTTTGCTGAACAAGCCAAAAATAGCATATGCCTCATATCCTACAAGGCTGTAGGGGTATCTCCATCACAGCACTCTCTGCTGTGTCCACACATCTTTCACAGCCTTCAGAGTCATTAGAGACAGGAACAGTTCAGATTCTCCTGCTTACTACTGACACAGGGTGTGTTAGATATTAACACCAAAGTATTGTATTCTGGCACTCAAGAAAAGGTGATCCTAGGTCCGTAGCTTGAGCCTCTAGGGAGTTAGCAGGAAAGAAGGAAGGGATGCAAGTCCATAACGTATAAAGTTGGTAATACAGCATCAGAGAGCAGAAACTTTCAGTAACACCAGCTAGGCCTCCTGGTGCTGAAACTCACCCATAGAAGCACTGTCACCTCCCGGGGAATTGCTGGACAGGTTTTCACTCTGGCCAGGAGCCTCTCCCTGCAGCGGTTTCTCAGATTCTTTCAGCAGCTGAGAACAACCCACCTGGACAGGATGAGAAAGAGTTGGGCCTATCAGTAAAGGATTCACTGTGTCTAAAACCCTCTGCAATGTATATACTGCTCACACCTCATTACAGCTCAGAAGAATCCCTCTGCCTACTAGGGAAGGAGAGATACTGAACAAAGTTATTACTCCTTCCTGATTCACGGGCTTGGTGGTTCATTCAAAGATCACAAAGTACTATCTGCCTTGAATATCCCACATTTCCATGTAACTGCATTTCCCCTTCTTTGCTTTAACTTCACTTGCTGCTTGTTTAAAACGCATCTTTCCTTCACTAAAAATCAGAAAGAACCTTCTGATAATTCCTGCATAGATTATTGCTTTGAGGACTACTAAAAGCAGTTCCCGTCACACTTGTTTTACTCCCTCCAATCCATTCTCTTTAATATCACCACTTAATGCCTTGCTTCATGCATGACACCTCCTTCCTTTCCCTTCCTCTTCACTGTCTGTGTCTCTGGCTAAAAACACTAACTTGGAAGGTGGGGAAAGAAACTCCTGTCCAAAGATGGAAGCCCACCCCGCTTCCAAGAGGGCACTACACCTCCTTCCCCAGCAGCAGAGAATCCCTACCGGGAAGGGCTCTGCTCCTTCCTGGATGACAAAGCCCTCAATGATATGTGTGAGGATCTGAGGCTTGACAATGGCTTGTGGAGGTTTGGAGTCTCCCATCTGACGTGACACCATGGCCAGGTTTGGGGTAGGAGCAGACGTGGGGGTGACTGATGTTCCTTCACTTGAGGTGGTATTTGGGGTTCCAATGGCAGCAGGATCAGATTTATCTGGAAAGTTAACAGCACAAGAGTCAGTTACCTTTGCTCCATCTACTTCAAATGGAATACGAGATCAAATCATTAGCGCACACAAGCAGAGCTCTCCTTTGTACCTCACCTCCAAGGGCACTCTTCTCCTCCATGTTTTTGGGGCTGTCTGTCACAGGAGAGGACCTGGCAGGCAGGAGTGCAGTGACACTGGGTGATTCCTCCTTTTCCTCCTCTGACTCTGCCTTGCGCTTAACTGCTAAGGTCTGAGACTTGCCCTGTGTAAATAAAGAGGAACATGTAAGCAGAGAGAGGAACCCCAAAACAAAGAACAAGACAGACTGAAGGCAAAGGAAGATGCATCCTGCTCCACCATACTCATCTCCAGCCTGGTTCCTTCTGGAAACATCTCTTGCTCCTTCATAGTATAATACCTCTACTTAGGAGCATTTTGCCTAGCAAGGAGCAAAGCTTCATGTCAACATGAATTGGGACATTGATACAATATCAACAGTGTGTGAACCTCAAGGGATTATTCCAGGAAGAAAGAAATGGAATGGCAGTCACCCAGCAGTTTTCAAACAGGCTCTTGGCTAGATCAGATCAGTTTCAATGGAGAGTCAAAACGGTAGGGGGAACATGTTGGATGGGAGCAGAACTGTCGGCCTGCTCTAGAAATCAGACAAATCCTGTGACACCTTCCTAAAGAAGCAGCCAGAGTTCAGAAACAGTCTCAGCAACTGGCTAAGTATATCTGAACTGGCAAAGTGCAGCTGTCCCAAGGAGTTAGGCAGGCCCTAGGTGGACAATTCAGAGCAGCGTGGATGAGGCCTGTGGAACATGAGCCATCATTGTTTTCCTCTGCATAGCCTGTTACTAGGGGATCCTCTGAGACCTAGAGTCAGTGGCTGGTACCACATGCCAAGGGGTCTCTGACCTGGAGGTATCCACACCTAGTGAGAAGAGAGGAGTTCAGTCTTCATAGCCCATTCAGTTCTCATCTCTCTCGAAAGGGACAACAAAGAGGCCAATTATTGTTTGTATTTGGTTTACGTGACAAGGTTTAGGTAGCATGGGGGCTGCAGGGGTGAATTCTGTGAGAAGGCACCAGAAGCTGCCCCCATGTCCAATAGAGACTATTCCAACCGGATCCAAGACAGACTCGCCGCTGGCCAAAGCTGAGCCCGCCAACAACGGTGGTAGCACCTCTGTGATAACATATTTAAGAAAGGGTAAAAAGTACTGCATAACAATAGCTGGGAGGAGTAAGAAACATCCCTGCAGACATCAAAGTCAGTGAAGGAGGGGGAGGAGGTGCTCTCAGCACTGGAGCAGAGATTCCCCTGCAGCCCATGGTGAAGACCATGGAGATGCAGTTTGCCCCCCCTGCAGCTCATGGAGGAGCCCATGCCAGATGAGGTAGATGTGCCCTGAAGGAAGCTGCAGCCCATGGAAAACCTGTGCTGGAGCAGGCTCTTGGCAGAACATGCGGCCCATGAAGAGGACCCCACACTGCAGCAGCTTTGCTGGAAGAACTTGTGACCCCATGGGGGACCCATGTTGGAGCAGTCTGTTCCTAAAGGACTGCACCCTATAGAAAGGGCGCATGCTGGAGCGGCTCGTGAAGAACTGCAGCCCACGGGAAGGACCCACATTGGAGAAGTTTGCAGAGAACTGTCTCCCTTGGGAGAGACCCTACGCTGCAGCAGGGGACAAACATGAGGAGGAAGGAGTGGCAGAGACAACGTGTGATGAACTGACCACAACCCCCATTCCCCGTCTCCTTGCACTGTTCGGAGGGAGAAGGTAGAAGAGTCAGGAGTGAAGCTGAGCCCGTAAAGAAAGCCAGGGTGAGGTGGTTTTTAGTTTTGTTCTTATTTCTCATTATCCTACTCTGATTAATTGGCAATAAGTTAATTCCCCTAAATTGAGTTTGTTTTGCCTGTGATGGTAATTGGTAAGTGATCTCACTGTTCTTATCTAGACCCATGAGCTTTTCATTGTATTTTTTCCCCTTTCCTGGTGAGAAGGGGGATACGGCAGCTTGGTGGTCACCTGGCAGCCAGCCAAGGCCAACCCACCACATTGTTAAATGTGATATTTAGTATGTGATGTGGACAGCTACCTCAATTTGGGCAGGGTCTGAGTGTCATCTATCAACTTCATGCAAGCCTTTGAATGATAATGTGGAAGAGAAATGCTTGTAGTCAGTAACCCCAAGGGTTGGATTGGAATTAGTGTTTTCGAGAGGAAAAAGTCTCCACATCCCTTTACCAAAACCCCTTGCCCATCCCATCCCACTGACCTGGGCCTGGACTGCGATTGGTGTCCTAGGAATGAACAAAGAGAATCCATATGCTATTCTCCTTCTCAATGGTATCACTTACTGGCAACTGGACAGACTGCATGTAGAATGCTGCTGGCATCTGAGCCACAACTGGAGAGGAGGCTGGGCTCTTCACCATGTGGGCTGTGCCTTGAACTTGTGCCAAATTCACCCCTGTGGTGAGCGAAGGAGTTTCCTGTGAGGATGCTGGAGCTGAAGACGATGATGGGGAAGCAGCATGGGCTTGGGAAACGGGCTGGACCACTGCTGGCATTCCCCGGGATGTCGGTACTGCTGCAGCAATCTGAGCCAAACCCAGTGCTTGGGCTTGGCCTGAGCCCTGCTGCCGAGTACCCACCACCTGCACTGGGATGTGTGGGGGAGGCTGCTGTGTTGCTGACATTTTGGCAGGCCCAAGCTGAGGTGGTTTGATAGGGGTGACCAGAGATTTTGACTGAATTGGAACAGGTGATTTGGTGGCTGGCTGGCAAGAACTGTCCTGCTGGAGCTGCACAGGCTGTGGCTGGGACTGCAACATAGGTTGTACCACAAGGGTCTGAGCCTGCTGCTGGTTTTGAGGTGGAGCCTGCTGCTGCGGAGGTTGAGCTTGCTGTTGCTGTTGGGTCAGAGATGGTGCTTGCTGCTGTTGCTGCTGTTGGGCCAGCTGGAGATGGGTGGCTGTATGGAGGAGTTGGGACTGGTGGTGCTGGAACTGCTGCTGGTGATGAATGGCGATCTGCTGCTGGATCACCACCTGCTTCTGCAGGTGGATCTGCTGCTGCTGCTGGATCAGCGAGTGTGGCTGGATCTGTGTATATGTAGCTATACAAACACAGAGTGGGAAAAGAGCAGAACACAAAAGTTAGCAACAGTGCAGCTAGGAACAACAATATAAAAAAGGCAGGCAGCCACTGCACTGGTTTGAGTCACAAGGCTCCAAAATGACTGACAGCTTACTAGCAGAGGACATGGGGCACTAAATCAACTTCTCTTGCTAATAGGGAGGAACAACCTCTAGAGAGACCAGTGCCCATGAGCACAGAGGCTGGGAAGGGTGTCGGGAAACCTCTCACCACTGGGCTTTCAAATGGCACTCTTGCAAAAGCCCAGTGGGCTCGAAGAGAAGGAACAGGTCTGCACTTACCTGAGCTGATCAACGTCTGGCTGGGTGCTGGTGTAGCAGTCCTAGTCAGGTTCATGCCCACCGTTTGCTGCCCACCGCTGTCCGTTTCACCCTTCTTTGTGGCTGCACTCTCTGTCTCCGTCTGGCTTCCCTGGCTGACGGTCACGGCCTGGGCAGCTGCTACCGGTAATGGCTGAACCACCCCTGTGCCTTTCCTTTGGCAACTGCCAGCGGCGCCCGCTGAGGAGGTCTGGCTCAATCCCGTTGAGGTCTGGCTCCCACCACTTGCCACCACACCCCCAGAGACACCATTGCTGCCTGCTGCCCCCTGGCTCAAGTTGAGGGACTGGCCTGCGCTGCCAGAGGAGGCCTGAGCCACTGCCAAGGTCTGGCCGGTGCTGGTGGCCTGGGGTAAGCCTGAAGCCTGGGAGCTTCCTGGCAGAGCTGCCTTCTGAGCAGAGCCCTGGAGAGGGGCATTCGTGGCCGAGGTCTGCTGGCTCCTCACAGCCAAGTTCTGCACCTAGAAACACACGTACAAAACAGAGTCTGTTTGCTTTACGTACGTTACTTGCTGGAAGTTTGGCAGCAGCACACGCTACTGGGATGCAGGCGGAGTTGATGCTTCAAGCCTCACATGGGGACCTGGCTAACACTGCAGGGCAAAGCTCAGGTGTGGCCCTCCCCAGGAAACACGTCATCCTGAACGTCCTCCTGCCCCGTCTCTGATGGAAGTTAAAGATCTCGTGGCACTACCTGAACGTGAGGACACTGCCATTCTCTGAGGCATGGGGCAGCCTTCAGACTTGCCTGCCATGCACTTGCATTGGGAAGATCCAGTTTAGCACAGTGCTAAAACTGCTCACATATGCTTTTTCAAGACCAGTAATTAATTTTCATTTTTTGTGCCACCTGCCTCCTCCCTCTGGGCAGGGCTTTGCACTCAGGAGGCCCACAGATATACTTATGGCCTGCTGCCCTTCTGATTTCACCAGTTCCTCTGCATTTTTGTGCTGCCATCCTTTACACCCCCTCCAAATGCAGTGTTATCTTCAAGTTTGATCATGGCTGACTTTCCTTCAAAGAAAGTGTTCCAGACAAGAAAAATACGAAGTAACTGGAAATCCCAAGAATGACTGGGATGCCACAGCAGCTCCCTGACCTGGAGAATTACTTATAGATGGATGCAGGAGCTAAGACCTTGTGGTCTGTTTGGTCTTTGGCATCTTTACAACAGCAAACCAACTGAGTGAAGGACTACTACCACTGGCAAAGACTCTTCATCGTAGAGTGACTGAAAACTGGACATAGAACTCAACAATTCTTTTCACACAAGAACAACTAAGAAACTGTGAAGATGGGATTGATCCAGCCCGTGGCTCACCTCAGAAATTTTAAGAAGAAATTAATCCCATCTCTGAAGGCAAAAAGCAAACATTGAAAAAAATGGTGGTAAGAGAGAACAGAATCTCCTGCCCGCACAGGGATGCAGGCTGCGGATAAAATAGAGCTAATCTGCTATACAGGGACGGCTGGAGACAGAGACCAGAGTGCGGGGTGATGGAGAGCAGGGGAAGGGGAGGACGCTGGGATGGGGTGTCACTGACCTGGTCTGTGTCTGCATGGACCCCAGGAGACTGAGTGGGTGGTACCTCCTGCTGGACAGCGGCCACAGCCCCGTTGGGCATCAGGATGAGTTGGGAGGCAAGAGGCACATTGCGGCCCAAGGTCCGGTTTACCTGTAACAGGTTCCCCAGCTGTGGCTGTTGAGGGAGGGTCAGATGATGTGGAATGAAGGGAACGGAGGGGAAGAGAGAAAGACAGACAGCGAACCACAAGCAAACAGATTACAAAGCAACACTGGGCTGCAATGTCATACATTGCAAAACCCCCAACCCTCCCTGCACTGTAACACTGAACGTAACCCTCAGGAGCAGGAAACTGGGAACAGTTTCCTTATGGAAGCAAGCACTCTTCTATCAAACATGGGCCTGGGTCAGCTCCCACAGGCTGCCCAAGGCTGGCTAAAAGACTGGGGTATCATTTAATTTTCAGGTGTATATCTGGGACTGGTTGAGAAACAGTGATAAAATACATTCATCCAAGACCAGGGTTACCTGACAAGAAGGAGATAATCTGTATCTGAAGTCAACTGAGTTGCAGAAAATATTTTTCAAGTAGGTAACAAAACCCCAGACTGACTATAGTCAAGCCTAGTGTTTTCTGTTTAGCAGCACTTCAAACCGATTAAAAGGATGAGATATTTTTCATGTTGATTTATGTTTGTAAACTTACTTGAATTCTGACTTACATCCCTGAGCTCAGCAGTGGTAGAAGAAAATAATTTACCATATATCTGTTCCAGCATTGAACCAGAAGAGTAGCTTTATTTCTGTGGGCTATATTAAAGTCTAGGACATATATTTCACATTTACACTCTAGTGAGAAGTGCCATGGGATCTTTAACATCTATGCAGAGCAGGGACAAACATGGTTCTTAATGATCTCACCTGAGCCACACAATACAAAGCTCATCTACCCTCAAAAGCTGAGCCCAGAATCAAACTTGTGGTTTCAGGGACAAGAGCTTCCCCATCTGAATTTAAAATATCATGGATATGATATTCATCCTCCTTAAAGCTAGAGGTAGTCCAAAGGTATTGGTAATCCCAAGCAGTGAAACACTGAAGTGGCTAGGAAGTGGGGTTCACGGTCAGGACACATTTTGCATACACATCTCTTACCCGGAGATACATCTGGGCCTGTGACTGGTTGAGAGGCGGTGAGGTGGTATTCCCAAGGAGCACAGACTGCGTCAGGGTTGTGGCGCTGGGGGAACTCACGCTCTGTGACCGACTGATCAGCTGAGCAGCTGATGTGGTGGCTAGGTTGATCTTAAAACAGAGAAAAGCCACAAATCATATATGAAGAGACAGAGGCAAAGAAGCAAGTACAAATTCACTTACTGGGGTACAGCCAGAACAGACATTTTACAGTTTTTTCCTGTATCCCACAAGGGACCAAGAAGAAAAAAGTTCTTGTCTTAAAGGGCTACACAATCTAAACTAGCCAAAGCTCAGGATGCTAACCTCATTTGTATGCTGAGCCTGGGTATCACTGTTAGCATGCAACTGCAATAAGAGATCCAAAAGAAATACATCATTTTTTCCAGCCTCTCAAGTAAAGGAAAAAAACCCCACAAAGTAATCTCTACCCTACCAACTCATCTACTTTCTGAACAAATCCCAGCTCCTCAATACTCACTACAAAGCCAGACTTCCTCTCATTCAACAAACTACCACTCTGCCCAAGACAAAAAGAACATTGCCTTCCAGCTGCTCATGATTCGTCCTCCCTCTTAGGAGCCCTGATCCTTTTCTAACACATGACAACGTATCCCCAAAGCCTCAGCAAAGAGAGATCAGTGTCTGCCTTTCCAGCTAAGACCCCTCTCGCCCTCAGAAACTGTCTCTGGTCTCCTCAACCCCCATCCATAATCATAGCACCCCAAACCATCAAAGTTGTCTGCATCTTGTGGACTCCCAGCATTCTTAGAAGCTGTGTTTCCCTGGCTGACTGCCTTCCTAAAAGTCAAAGATGAGAAAGAACAAGGCAGGGAGTGGGAGGGAGGCTTTGATATGTGTGTGAGGGAGCAGTTACTTACAGAGGCCTGGGTGGTGGTGGTTTGTTGCGGGGTGCTGGTGTTGGGGGAGCTGGCCTGTCTACTGGCTGCAATTGTAGCCTGCAAGACAGATGGACAGAGAAATGAATACCTGGAACAAACTTTTCAATACAGCCCAAATATTTGACTTTGTCAGAACACCTACTCCCATCGTCATCTTCTCCCATTCCTGAGAACAGGAGCACAATCTAACCACTAAAAATCCCTGCCAAGCCCTACTAATCAGGTGCAGCAACTCAGCAAGGTACCTCCTCTTCTTCAACCAGTTCAGTCCTACATAATGCCCAAGGCAGTGGACAACAGACACTTACAGTGCACGACCTCCAGTCCTTCCATCCACGGGTACATACCCTACTGCTGCCCCAGCTTGTCACGCTACACACTGCAACCCTCATCCCGATGCTGCAATCCATTCTGTTAACAACAGACGTTCCCCACAATATTAGAAATTTGCTGGGCTAGTTAGGCAGTTTAGTGACAGTGCAATAATAGTACTCCAAATAACAAATTTGAGATTACAGCACATATGGTTCGTGAAGGAATGTAAATATTGTTAGATTCCCTGCCCCCCACCATGATCCCGTGGGAATTCCACTGTATGAGTTTAGTTAGTTTTATAACTAAGATTTGTAAGAAACTGGTGAGAGGATTCTATTCCCTCTGTGCTATAAAACTACAGTTTAGGGCATTTGAGAAAAACTAAATCCTGGACTATCAGCCAAGGAGCACAGCTACTGATATACAGACAGTTACAGACGGACACTGTACAGATTGTTACAGACAGAACTGTATTCACATCACACATAATTCATCTTCGACTGGTGATAAAGACTTGCAAGTAGGAAAAGTTGCTAAAAAATGTAAATAAATCACTCAACAATTAAAATAAAATATCTTAATTTGTATAAACATATCTTAATTATAGAAATACTCTCCTGGCTGGACAAGATCTACCCCAGATCCTTCTTGCTAGTAACTTGGTAAAGAAAACATGGGCTACTAAGTTTCAAGATGTAAAATTCAGAGGATACTGCCTGAAATTTCACACACACAAGACCATGTTTATTCTCAGAGAAACAACAATCCATGGTTCACTTTAAGAGCATTTAAATGCTACTGCATCCACTGCTGATTTAACCACCCATCTTTTATTTGAAGAAGGTGCAGGAGCCTCTAAAGCACAAGTTTCCTTATGGGGATGCCAAATGTTATCTTCCCCTGCTCTGTACCTGAAGAACAAATGAATCTTTGCACAAAGCTACCAGTTTACTAGCTGTTTGTATTACCTTTATACAATGTGTTTAGGGACTTGTTGTCTAATCATGGATCAGGAGGACCCTGGTGCACAAGTCACTGTATAAAGAAGTGTCTGGATCTTCCCCAGAGAATGATCCAATTTCTCTCCTTCTGCCCCTTGGCCACTCACCTGCTGGACGGCAGCCAGGCTGTGAAGCTGGGCGCTGTTAAGTTGCTGCTGGAGCATAAACTGGTGAAAGTACTGGGCTGCATTGGGCTGTCTCTGGAGTGCCTGCAAGGCCTAGAGAAAGAGGAAAACCCACTCGTCAAAAGTAGCGTGCCCTTGAAATGTGATTAGAGAGAGCAATGAAGAAACAAATAACAGCCACAAGACCATCCCTAGACCCCATGAAAAAAGCAAAGTCACTAGATTAGCACATCAAAATACATAGTACAGCTACAAATTTGTTAACAGACTGGATCACAGGTGTATTTCAGAACAGCAGAAAGCATACTTGCAAGACTTTAATAAACCCCAGGAATTTGGGGATGTGCATGCTCAAGCAGGCAGACAAGTGTTCCAGTATAGTATGTATACAGAGGATATGCATATATAGAGCAACTGGGATGATAAACTGAATGAATTGCTCTAGAACAGGAGGCTAAAATCAATCTATTGGATCACAGCACGGTGAGCAATCTAAGAGGCTGGACACTGAAGGAGTAGCCTATAAAACATGAAGCACTGTATCATGCTACAGGAACTAAAGATTGGGCCTAGCACAAGAATTTCTAAATCTGAACATGACAGCCCTTTGGGCATACTCCCACCTTGACACACGACAACTCAGAAGAACAGGAAAGGGCTTACCATCACCTTCTAGTGATGTACATGCCATCCCAGAACATAACCGCAGCTCACCTGTACTGCCTGTCGCTCATAGAGAGACATCTGTGATATCTGAGGACGGGTGCTTCCTCCAGAACTGGAGCTCCCGCTGGTAGAGCTGGAGTTCTGCTCACTTTCGGTCTCCATGGTGACAGGATCCCAGGAGCTCAGGCTGAGACGGACTCCAGATCTATATCGAGAGAATTGGAAACTAAGTCACTCTAGAGAAAGAACCGAACCATATTTCACTGCATTACACAGCTTTTTTACTGGAATGTCCCAGTATCAGGCTCCTCGCACAGCTTTGCTACATCACAGAGGACCAGGACTGCTGAGGTTCTGAAATCACCCAGAAATTATACTCATGGTTTAAATCTTTTATTACCACAGTCAGAAAAGTAACGCACACATTCTCATATTTTTATTGCCATGCTACAGTTGGAAGCTACAGCATCCTGAGTTCTTAAAAAGGCAGCAGAGTGAAGGAGCAGCTGCAGCTCATTCAGACAATCCTTTGGTTACAGACCTGATCACCTCTCCTCCAAGGCTAATGAACGAAGGCAAATTGCACTGTGCTTCCAGTCTCCCCCGGCACTTCAGCAACTTCCGATCCTCTCTTCCTCTAATCCCACGAAAGGTATAATTATCCCACAACTCCACAGCCCTACTGCAGATATACCAACTCAGTCCCTCCTTCTCCCAGTTTAGCCCCCCAGCCCTCGACTGTTTCTTTCTTTCTCTGACCACATGGACTTCCAGCTACTTATTGTTCCCGACAGATTGTAGCTTGAATATTAGACTGGAGGCTGGTATCTGTGATGGCAAGTTGCTTTCAGGAGGAATAGAGTTAGAAACAGAGTGGATGAAGGATTCACTGGCAACACTTGTGAGGGAAAAGCTGCTGAAGAGGTCATGCAGAGCCAGAGAGATCTTCCAGCAGAAGAAAGACGAGTTGCAGTGAACCACACAACTGAGAAAGGACTGGAGAAGGCTTTCATGAGCCAAGAGGAAGAGAAGCAAGACTGAAGAGAGTGCTTAGCAGAAGAGTAACACATTGGGATGATCAGGGAGTTTCCTACAGCAAGGAACATGGTCTATACAGGGAGTAACGGTAGGAAGGATTAGAGTCAGAAAAGGGAAAGTGCGCAAGTGATCATTCAACAGAATTTCACTGAAAAAAACCTGAATTTTTAGAAGGATATAATTCCATGTAAAATTTAAAAAAAAAAAAAAAAAAAAAAAAAAGAAGCTCCTGATAGTCTCAGTATCACTGACAGCTTGTTTATTTCCAAAGCAACAGCTGGCTCCCCTGCAACCTACCTGAGACAACTCTAAATGAGACCCCTAGGCTTCCAGGATCCCACAGCACCAGCACAGACCCTGTATCTAGACCTTTCAAACCCAGAGATTTCAAGCTTCAGAGCCTTCACCAAACACAAATTTTCCAGATGCATAAACAAACAGACCAGCACAGCAGAAAAAGATGTGCAACAAGTCTCGACCAGACAACTTCTGAAATTCTGGAATGGTGTTAAGGGCAGCAGGTGATTTCAAAATAGGGCAACAGCATTAACACTGCAGAGGATGTCTGGCTAAATCAGGGAACTGCTGCTCCAAACCTGCTCCTCAAAATCTGGAAAATTCTATAATTGACACTATAATTGACAAACAGATAGCTGCTGCTACAGTCCTGTCTTCCCCATGCATCTTCACCTCTGCACTCAAGTCCTGCTCACACATCTGCCTGACAATCCAAGATTGCCTTCCTGCACTGCTTCAGCAGTGGCAGTGTAGGTAATTCTGCCCCGAAGTCATCTCCTCCTCAACTGAGACACACCCCCTCCCAACTGGCCACTACTGTCTTCAGGCACAACTCCATTGCAGCTAGAAAGAGTTGGTCAATATGCTTATCTAGAACATAAAAGCTCAGGAGAAGACAATTACTTTAAAGCTCTTCCCCAGGGGGCAGCACCACAAAAAATAAATGAAGCCTGAACATAAATAAATTGTGAATGGAGAGAATACAGACTTCTTGAAAGAAAGAAACTGTGGTAGATAAATGAAGTACTTTGAATGCTGTTAAAATGCAAGTCAGAGTGAAGTTACACGAATTACACCAAGTTGTCTAGTAGCTTGGCTACCGTTGGGAGACAATTTATGTTGTTTTGCTCACCCTCAGCCTCCCTGTGCAGGTTCCTCCCAGCATTTACCTTGCTTCTGGTGCTCAACAGATCAACTTGTTAACTTTGCAGAAAAGCTACCCTAAACATCATTTTCTGCCAGATCAGTGAGTGGAATTAGCTCACCTGTGATCCCACAAATGCCAGTGAGAGAGAAAAGAAGGTAACACTAAGATTCAGCTTAGATGTAGCACATACCTTTACCCTCAACAGCTGCACCAGGAGAACCCTGGCTTCTGATTTGGTGCTCTGCTCCACCACTCTGTTTCCTCAGTAAACAGCAGCATTGATTCTTAAGATTTCCAGAATTTTTGCTGGAATCTTCTTAAAACCAGGTCCTAGCACAAACAAAATCCTACTGAAATACCTCTGGGATGAGAGGAGTCAAAAAATGTTGGTCTCTGTGCAGGTAAAAGCCCTTTTGGGGGCATGGATAGAGAGGTATACTCTCCCTTTGCAGAAGGGCTGTAAGTATTTTAAGTCCCTCACAGCAAGCAGAGTTATCCAGCAAAACCCCTTCCAAACACAAAAGTGAAAAGGCACAGTATTTCCTCAGGCAAGTTCATCTAAGGATGCAGCTCCAGATTAGTGTAATCCAGTCCAAACACAGGCTATTCACACATAAAATAGCATGGATTGACTGCACCCTCTACGCACCTCCAAGAGCATCTTCCAGCACCCTACTCTTAAAAAAATTTAGTGATTGGGCTATCAGATCACTTGACTCAGCTAGCTGCTCCATGAGATAGACAGCCTAGCAAAAATGATTAAACGATGGGTTTTCCAAAAGATTGAGTTAACCAACTCACCTTGCAACGTAATCAGTAGATCCCAAGCAAAAACCTCAAACAAACAAACAAAAAAAAAAAACCCCAACACCAACAGGATAACAATGCAGCCCTTACTGGAAATTAACCTTTGAACAGCAGCTAAACTGGATTAAGCCTAACACAGAACTGCACCCCAAAAAGACAGACACGGAAAGATATAAAGGCCTATAAACACCATGGCAGGAATGACAGCACAGCAGAAAGGAAGGGAAGGAGAAGGGAGAAAACTAGCTCCTGGAGCAGTACAGGCATAAGAACATTGGCCAATCCAGAGCCTAACCATCGCTGCTGATCTCAGCGCACCCCAAGAACACCACAGGTGGCCCGTCTACAAGTTCCTGACCTTTCTCAAGTGCAAGAGCACAGCAGTCAGGCCAAACAGCTACTCTAGTCACTGAACACTAGGTAGAAGGTAGAAAAGTTTTACTCGCTCACCCCATCCATTCCTCCTGACACGTGACTGCTGCCTGCAGAGCATTTTCTAACCTTATAACTGGTTTTGTCACTTCAACCCCGAGAGGGCAAGTTAGCGAACAAAAATTTGCACGGGATTCACCACAGGTATCGGGGAGAGAAATTAGGAACCAGGACTGCAGCACACCCCTCCCTCCTCGCTCTGCTATTGCGGTTTTCTACAAGACAAGCCTCCAAACCACGCAAGCAGAGGCGTGAAGCTGCCGGGACGCGTTAACTCCGCTCCGGGATGCTCTGGGAGCAGCAGTCGGTGGGACTCCCGAGCACCCCGGACCCTCGCACCACCTG